TTGCCGAATTCCCAAAAGTTTTATTGTGATAGATTTTATACAATATATTATATTTTATACTAAACATTTTTGTCATTATAACATCATTTTCTTTTATTTGATCCATCATTTTCTGTACTATAATTTAGCTATCTTTAAGTATGACACTGAATAACTTCTCTCATTCTTCTTCTTTTCTTTTTCTTATATCTCGAATGTTCGATTGAGTGAATGAATGAGTATGTAAGTAAGTGAGTGAACGAGCGAGGACTCTGATAGAGACATGTTTGTCCAATTTACAGATTCGTCAGCACATGCACTAATTTCTTCGACGTCGCGTCTTCTACATCATTATGGAGACGATATATAAAAAAAAAGTCCTCTTACTCTTTCTATACGAGCGACATAGGGAAGATTTTTTTGGGATAATGTCCTCTCTTCCGCATTCACTACTCTTCATTTGAATGAACGCAAGAGAGAAGAAGAGAAGCGAAAAGATTTTTTGCTAATGTGATTCCGACGACGACCGACCGAAAAAAGAGATGATGATTTATTATAATCAGGGTAGAGAAAGAGAGAGAGAGAGAGAGAGAAAGAGATCTATAATGCATAAAGAGAAAGATAATGGGTGTGGTGAAGCTTATTTTGTAGTGTCGGCCTATCAGAAATTTTTTTTTTCTCGATTAGTAAGCGACCGAATTAACCATTTTTAACAACAACAATAACAATAACAAAAAAAAAAAAAGAAATTTTCTATAGATATATTATATATATAAGATCGTAGGATTGCGTGCTATAATAATCGAGTAGAGATGTTCATCATCATCATCATCATCATTATCATCATATGATCATGATCGAAAGAAATCTTTTTTTTTTGTCCTCTTATTCTTTCTTTTTCCTTTCTTTTTTTATTCTTCTCGCACATATTGGAAACATAACAAAAGAGATTGAGAAGAAAAAAAAAGAAAACCAGTGTGAATCGGTCGTTGAGAAGCAAGACATGTAGACAGAATAGAAGCGAAAAAAAGATAGTGTCGATTGTTCATAATTGTGAATATTCTTTTTTTCATTCTCGTCTTTGTTTGTATGTGATAGAGAGTCTTTTCCTTTTTTTCTCTCTTTTTTGTCATTTGATGTGCGTTTAGCATAAATTATCCAAGGCGACAGCAACCACAGCAGCAATGAATTTTTTTTTAAATATTTGCATAAACAGTATCATCATTATTCTTTTTTCTTTCTCTTTTCGCGTATGTATTTCGATTTTGTTATCGAGATAATATTAATGAGTTTTGTTCTTGTTCTTTCTCTCTTTCTTTTATTTAGAACAATCTCTTTAATTTATGTGTTTCTTTTGAGTTTTTTTTCACTCTCTTTCCAACTTTATTATAGTTGTTTGGTTCGTGTTGGTGCGAATCTCACTTATGCGTGTAGAGATAGATATGCGCACACATACACATATACACAATTAAATTTGCACCTGGTTCGAGTTTGACTTCATTCGTTGTAGCACTAAACAGCACAAGTCAATTTATATTTTAGTTCGTTCCGACGCCGCTGTTGCCTATCTATCTTTTTTCGTTTGCACATAAAATACAAAGCATAGCCATCAAGTAGTATAGAACAAAAAAATTGTGGAATCAAATTACCAATGGGACAACGAGAGGAGATGGTGCTTACTTACTCTAAAGTGATAGAGTATATGTGTGTGGTGTGTTTCACATTCTCGAGCAAGTGCGAGAGCAGCACACGCGCGCGATAAGAATACATAAACAGTCGAGTTGAAATTAGACGAGAGAGAGAGAGAGAGAGAGAGAGAGAGGGAGAGAAAGATGCATAAATAGTCGATTTTAAAATATAGATAAGTCAAATTTATTTAAATATTCTTTTAGAATATAAACATATGACACTCCCACTTATTTCGGATAAATCTCGAGAATCAGAAGGTATTTTTGTTTTTGTTTTCTTTCATTTAGCATTTTTTTCCATGTTAGAAAATTTTAGTTAATTCAATGAATACATTTTGTACATCATCAAATTTTCATATGAATCCACTTTTTTCGACACTTTTTCCTAATCTCACATCTCAACAACAACAACAACAACAATTTCTTACTCAATTATTACTTTCTGGTAAATAAATATTACATTTCTTTATTTTTGCTTCTTCTATTTAATTTTTATTTCTATCCATTATTAGGAGCAACTTGTCCGCCATTATTATCATTTACTAATAATCCTCTTGCAAATGCATTACAATTACTTCTCAATAATAGTGCTCTCTTTTTTCAACAACAAAATCTTTGTAAGTTCTTCTTTTCTTAGATAAATGTTATTATTCTCTTCCGGTTTTGTTTTTTTTAAAAAAAAGCACTTTGTTCAATACCAACACTTATCGATAATAACAAAATACAAGAATCATTAAATACAGAATCAATTTCCGTAAGTAATTATTAATTATATTTAATAAGAGTTAATTTTTATTTTTTTTCAATATTAAGACAAGAACAATTTCACCTGTAAATATGAAATATAAACATGAATCAATTGATTGCAGGTTCATATTGAATTCATCTATTTTCTTTTCTTTTTTTTTTTCATCAATTTAATATTCATCTAGTTCATCGGATACAAATGAAAAATCAACATTAGATGATGATGATAGTTCACCAACAATAGCTACAACACTTGCATCATTACCTATTAATAATAGTATGATTATTAATTACTTAAATTAATTAATTTTGATTGATCTGTTTTGTCTTCTTATAGATGAAACAACAATAACAACAACAACAACTGTTGATGGAATTAATTTAGAAGAAATAAAACAATTTGCAAAAGCATTTAAATTACGTCGATTAGCATTAGGTTTAACACAAACACAAGTTGGTCAAGCATTAAGTGTGACTCGTGGACCAGCCTATAGTCAATCAGCTATATGTCGTTTTGAAAAACTTGATATAACACCTAAAAGTGCTTCAAAAATCAAACCGGTACTTGAAAAATGGATGCATGAAGCTGAATTAAAATATGGTGATCGGTAAAAAAAGAAAAGAAAAACAAATTAATTTATTAGTGTATAATATTATTATTTTGTTTTTTTTTCTATTTTATCATAGACTAAAAAATGGTCCATCAAATTTACATGAACTTGTTACTGATCTTAATGCAAAAAAACGTAAACGACGTACATCATTTACTCCTCAAGCACTTGAAAAATTAAATGATGCATTTGAATTAAATACACATCCTTCAGGTGTGGATATGTCATCACTTGCACAACAATTAAATTATGATCGTGAAGTAATCCGTGTTTGGTATGAATTAATAAATTTTTTTTTTGCTCTATATATTAATTATTTAAAAAAAAAAATTCTTAGGTTTTGTAATAAACGACAAGCATTAAAAAATTCTGCGAAAAAATTTAAAACAAATCAAATCAATGATGATAATGAATCAACGACTAGTTCTTTAATGAATAATAAATTAATTGATACAACAAATCATTCAACAAATGAATAAGAAATGACATTTATACATATATATATATTCTATCTTTGTGAAACAATCAAACAAGAATGACTTTGTATGTTCACATTCTTCCATGTTTCATATTTCTTTTCAAATGGGTGTATGTTCATCCTTGAATTTTAACTGATAAATTAATGTTTACGTTTGTTTTAGACTGCACAAAAAAATTTTTAACTATTGTCAATTGTCTTTCTTTGTTGTGTAATTTCATTTTCTTTTTCTTTTTTTGTTTATCTCAGATTTTAATTATACAATATACAACAAATCAAATCTTGAAAGAAAAAAGAAACAATTGAGAGGAAAAAAAAACTCTAGTTTTTTATGTTCATTTATATTGAAATATTGATAATTATTTTGAACGGACAACAGTAACAAGAGTTTTTCTTTTTGCATGAGATTTTAAATGATTTTATTATCTATATTGTCATATGTAAACAGAAAGTTTAAATGATATCTAAGCACCTTTTTTTTAAGCAGATTTTGTAGAATGAAAAAAAATATATATAACTCATTTTTTGTTTCTAGTTGCTCTTTTAGAACTAATGAGAGAACCTCTTTAGGTATCAAATCACTTTTCGACCAAGACGATGTTCATTTGATGAGTACTAGAGAGTAATAAAATACTCTAGAATGATTTGATTTTTCAACAAAAGTCGGTGGTTTCCGTCAGGTCATATGAAAGTTTCAACTTTAAACTTTGCACAAACAAAATTCTCAATGCGACTAGTTCGTTGGACAAGTTGTAACTTTTCTAGTATTTCCTATTCTGAGATATTCATTATTCAAAATACCCTTATGTATAAAGGCAAAATTTTTTCATATATTTACATTGAAGTCAAAAATCGAAAGTCGATTTTTCACGTGAATTGAGGAAGATCATAAATTTTTATTGGAAAACCCAGTAAAATTTCGATATCTCAAGAATGAAGGTTCGGAAGATCAAACTATACTGGAGTTTTCTATTATTTACTGGTACTCATCAAATAAACATCGTCTCGGTCGAAAAGTGATTTGACACCTATAGAGATTTCTTCATACGCTTAGCTTTTTAGTTAATTTGTTGATGGAAAGTACGCATAATATGCATCAATTGCTCGGCATTTCTGTGAAAAAAAAAGGTAAAATATAAACATTTGTTATCATTTTTATGGTCGTTGTCATAGAAATGCCTTCTTCATCTCGAGAATATGTGAACGATACAAGCAATGAGAATAAATACCAAACGATTGTAGTGATAGTCAATTTCTATTGAATGATTCTACTAAGGAATTGTAGACGAAAAAAACACTGGCCTGAATATTTAGCGCATGAAAAAAAATTATCATAAAAAAACTATGAATAGAACGATTTTTGAAATGTTTCTAAAATAGTCTCAAACTTTTAAAACTTCATTTATGATGAAAAGTAAATATGCTAGAAAAATCTTTAGATTCTAAACAAATCTCAATTGTTGATAATATTATTCAGTAAAATCCGTTTTTCTTTAGATGTTGACTACCTTCCCTTATCGATCTGTATCATCTCTATTAATTCGTCGTACGGTGCAATATCCATTATGGAATCGTGCAAATGTTCGTGCAACTTATTCAAATGAATTTACAAAAAATGAACTCCTACGACGATATAATACTGAACATTCATCAACTTATTTCGATCAATTTCGTTATATTCGTCATTTAAAAGATGCACCTACAGTTCCATTATCCTTTGGTTTACTCGGTCTTGTTCCATTTGCTGCTATTCCCTTATATATGTGTTCGACAGGAATATATTTACCAGATTTAGCATTTACTCAATTAGCTTATTCAGCTTCAATTATTTCATATGTAGGTGGTATCCGTTGGGGAACATTACTTGAAGAATCAAATGATTGGAAGAAATATACATATTCAATTCTTCCATCAGTTGCTGCTTGGTTAGCATTACTTATACCCGGTCGATGGTCAATTGTTTGGGCATTAGCATCATTTCAAGGTTTTCTTTATTATGATGTAACTAAACCAGGTTATCCTTTATGGTTCAAAGGATTACGAGTACTTTTAACAACTGCTTCATGTTTAACATTATTTGCTACACTTATACTTAGTTTTGTATTACCAAAAAAA